GGTTTATCGCTCAGAGCACGGGGCGCTACTGTCCCAGTATTTCCGAATATCCGCAAGCCTAGACTTGGCCTTACAGTAGAAGCCCAAAAGTTGGAAACGCAATAGCCTTAATCCTGAAGAGCAATGTATGGGGCATCCCAGCACTATTTGGCCTTAATCCGGTTTCCAACTTTATGGTGTTTACTGTAGAAAAGATTAGGGTTTAGGGTTTACTGAAGGCCTGGCTTCCCCGAGACAAGGACCCTTGGACGAAACAACTACTGCCCTTATCTGCCTATTTGGCAGCCTATCTATGTGCCTACGTATCTGCGTACATGTACATACAAACATACGCGCACACACACACACACACACGTGCATGCATGCATGCTCACACATGTCTACATACATGCATGCATGCATAGATGTCTACATACATACGAACCCCTACATATTGTAATGCAAGCATATCCCATTTGGACAAGCATGGTCACTTCGAGTGATGTTTCGCTATTCGTATGACTATACAGTGTATACATGTACATGTGCAAATAAGAGTAGCAGGACGCCAGCAACAAAAACAAACTGTAGTTGTTTATGCACATGGATATTTACATTAACACAGCAGTGTGCAAACACGTACACAAGATACTGACACACACACACACGAGTATATAAACATACAAACGCATTCATATCCACGTAATCTGCAACTACATTAACTACATACGCAAACTGCAACTGATTAAGCCGAAAATCGGTCGCATGTGACACACACACACACGCACATTATACATAAACATACATATATACACACCCGGCGAACATACCGATCCATATAATGCTGTAGGATCTGATGTGTGGCTAATGCCTGAACAGGCTAGACATAAAGAGATAAATGCCTGAAGCAGAAAATTGTTCGAACCGAAACCAAGCAAAACCTTGCCTACATCCCGGTAACTCCACACCCTGCAACCTAATCCATACACCGTCCGAAGACGCAAAACCCAAGTACGACCGACCCCTGCAGAGCCCTTCTGAAGCCGCGTAAAACCCAAAAGGGCGCCTGAACTCACCCTAGCTCCCCTGGCAGTCTCGCCCCCGACACCCCCGAACCCCTGAGCCCTAAAAATCTGAACCCCTACACCGCCCTAACCTCCAAAACCTCTGAACCCCTAAACTCCTCAAACCTCCAAGTAACCCCAAACCGACAAGCCTAAACCCTAAACCCTAAAACCCTAAAACCCCTTAAATCACCTAAACCCCAAAACCCTAAAACCCCTTAAATCACCTAAACCCTAAAACCCTAAAACCCCTCAAATCACCTAAACCCTAAAACCCCCAAACCCTCAAATCACCTAAACCCTAAGACCCTAAAACCCCTTAAATCACCTAAACCCTAAGACCCTAAAACCCCTTACATCACCTAAACCCTAAACCCTCTCAAGTCCAAGGCACCAGCAGCCCGTGCTCGCGGACGGAAGCGCGAGCACTGGCCTCGGCCACGGCGCTGGCCGCCAGGGCGTCCGGGCTTCCGGCCTGGTACCCTTACTGTAGGGCTCCTTTAAAGGCTCCTTAAAGGGATCTAGAGGGTTCCTTTAAGGGATCTATATATAGGGTTTAGGGGTTCGGGTGCAGGGCTCCTTTCAAGGGTTTCTTAGAGGGTTCTACAAAGGCTACTAGGAGGTCTAAGGTCCCGACTTGTTCTTTGGGGTTTAAGGGGTTTAGGCGTTAGGGTTTGGGGGTTCAGGATTTAGGGGTTAGGGTTTAGGGGTTCAGGGTTTAGGGCTTAGAGATTCAGGGTTAGGGGTTGGGGTTTAGGGGTTTAGCGGTCGCCGGGGCTAGGGGTTTAGGGTTTAGGGCTCCGGGCTTTGTCCTTACTCTAGGATTCCTTTAAAGGGCTGGTTAGAGCGTTCTACAAAAAGGCACTACAAGGCAAAGGGTCCCGACCTTTTCTTCACTGTATTGTATAATATACCCTGGACCTCGAGGGTCTCAGGGTGTCTGGGGTTCTTCAAGAGGCTAGGGTTTAGGGTTTAGGGTTTAGGAGTTAAGGATCGGCTTCAGGGAGTGGGGTTCCTTTTTAGGTTTCTTGAAGGATCGTATACAAGCTACTACAAGGGTTTAGGTCCCCAGGGCAAGGGTTCGGGGTCTAGGGGGTTACGGGGTTAGGGGCTTAGGGTCTAGGGTCCCGTCTTTTTCTTTCCTGTAGGGGTTCTCCATTAGTCACCGCTTTTTTAATGATTAGAGCTCTGTATTAAACGATAAGGTCAAGGAAGTTCACGCGGAAGGGGAGCACCGAAAGGCTCCAGAAGATGCCTCCGTCCATACTGCTGAAGCGACCAGGGTTGTTGGTCGAGAAAAACACCCTAAACCCTAAACCCTAAACTCTAAACCCTAAACCCTAAACTCTAAACCCTAAACCCTGCCTTAAAGACACCGGAGCCTTGTACGAGCCTCGAGATCCAGGTCGGTTTTCCGCGCCACAACTTCAGCGTCTTGCTCTTGATCTGGAGCGTGACCTCCGAATCTGGGATGCTCAGCACCCTCCTCGCTCTTACCCGCAAGGCCTCCGGGTTGGCAGAAGCAACGTTGAAGTTGGTGGTGAACAGGCTGAAGTCCGGTTCGGCGTGATAGGAACCCAGAAACCTCATCGATCACCACTGTGAATACCCCCTTGCCTGCGATTGCCACCGGGTCCCTGCCAGAACTGCCTATAGTCTCCATTGTAGTTCCTTTTTTGGGAAAACCAAAATCTCTATTATAGGATCCTAACCACAAAACTGGATAACCAAAAAAGGAACTACAATGGAGACTATAGGTGGAATTCTTCGAAGCCCGATCTGGCCACGGTGGGACAGGCGAAGTGCTTGAGGGCATAAACGACGACGGCTGGGCGGAGCTGGTCCTAAATTTATCCCGAATCGATACCTTTTGTAGGGTTTATAAGGCTTACAGGATCTAGGGTTAATCGGGCTAGAGTTCAGGGGTAAAAGAAGCGTTTCCTTTTTTGTAAATACAGCTGCTTCAAGTAACCATGGCAATATTTGCTTGTCTTCTTGGATCGTCAAGAGAGGTTAGGTTTCTAGAAAGTCATGTTTTGGGGTGTCCTGTTCTGCATCGCGTTCGGGTTTGACACAAGCTATGTGTTTTAGGTGCAATGACGACTTTTTCGTGACACCCTAAGCCCTAAACACCTAATCCTAAAGTAGTTCTATATCCCAAGAGTTGCAGCTTGAGGGTGCTATAGGCTCTTGCGAGGGATGAGCAGGCTTTCGGCTTTAGGATGTCACGTGTGTTTAGGGCTTTGGGTTTAAGTTTAGGGCTTAAAGGGTTGCTTTGGGCAAAGTTCTCAAGCCACTCGCTTCAAGTTAGCATCTTGCTACTCTACATCATCCGCTGGAGGCCTTCATGTAAGAATCTTAAGGGCTTCGAATCTGCATTGACATTCTTGTTCGTGCGCCTTCTTGGGGTTCAGGGCTGGAAGGCTCTTGGCGATTCGCGCTTGAGGTGTTTTGGCTTTAGGGTGCATGGCCTTATATGTAAAGCTGATAAGCCGTGATGAATAAGATGATGACGCGAATGAAGAGAAACATGATAGTTCCTCCTGCTAGTTCAAGATGATGTTGGCTGTAATGCTGATGTTGTTAACGATGATGAAGATGAGGAAGAAGATGGTTTATGATTGAGGTGATGACGGTCAGGATACTGCTCATGTTGGTGGGCATACAGCTTCAGGTGCAGACGCTGCATGCAGTCACCTGAACAAAATGGCTCTCCAAACGTCAAGCCCTAAACCCCAACCCTAGCCTTAACCCCAAACCCAAGGCACTACTCCCTAACCCAAACCCACAACCACAAACTGCACAGACCAACAATCAAAACCCTGAAACCAAAGCCCAAGGCCTTGAACCGAAGAAGCCAAAGCGCTAATAAGCCCCTAACCCTACCCAGTTTTTTTGGGGGTTACCTTATACGATTCTATATATGAACCCCAAACAGGAACTACTATGGGGCCTATAAATAGACCCACTACACTTACCGAAGGATGCTCGTCCGCACCTCATAGAGCTTCCGCATAACGGAGAAGTTCCTTAGTTGGGGGAGCTCTGGGGTCCATGGGGGTTTAGGGCTTATAGGGCTTATAGGGCTTATTGGGGGTTTGGGGGTTTAGGGCCAAAGGGATTTCGGGGTTTATTGGGGGGTTTGGGGTTTGGGGGTTTAGGGCTAAAGGGATTTAGGTGGGATGTTGGGGTTTAAGGGAGTTTAGGGGTTTAGGGCTAACCCTAAGGCCCTAAGGCTCGAAATAGCCCAAAGGCCTTGTAGGGGAAATTAAAAAAAGATCCCAAAGGACAACCCAGTTAAGTCTAAAATCTGCAAACCCGAGACCTGCTGACATCCTGTGTCCGCACTGGTTGTAGGCTGTCATTACAAGAAGCCTACTATTCAGAGTGAATTGAATAGACCTTCTCTCAAGGATCTTTCCATCTTGCGGTCTACACTTTAAACTAACAGAGCTTGCTTGAAACATTAGCTCAGACGGGCTTTGGTTTTTGGGGCCTCGAGGGTCATGAACGGATGTGTGTGTGTGTGTGTGTGTGCGTGTGTGTGTGTGTGTGTGTGTACGCGTGCATGTGTGTGCGCGCGCGTGTGCGCGTGCGCGTGTGTTTGCTTGTGCTTGTGCTTGTGCTTGTGCTTGTGCTTGTGCTTGTGCTTGTGCTTGTGCTTGTGCTTGTGCTTGTGCTTGTGCTTGTGCTTGTGCTTGTGCTTGTGCTTGTGCTTGTGCTTGTGCTTGTGCTTGTGCTTGTGCTTGTGCTTGTGCTTGTGTGTGTGTGTCTGTGTCGGTGTGTTTCGTTGTCTTTCGGGGCTCCGTGGCCTAGGGCGATGTAAGAAGTTAAGAACACGGTTACAAGCAAAAGCCCATCACGGAATTGAAGAGAATCACAGAACATTGCTTCCAGTCCACCACAGCAAAAAAGGGAGCTATGAAACCCCGCATCGTCCAGGTTTTATGGGGACCCTCACAGCTCCGTGTCTCCAAGCTTCCCGATGTAGGGCACACCGGGAAAGAAGTCCAGGACTGGGAAGCCAAACAGCTTGAGGAAGTCGTCGTGAAGCTCCTGCGCGGCGGAAGAATGTCGACAAGGGCCATGGCGGCGCAATGCTACCAAGTACTACGATTAATTGTACAAAAGCTTCATGTCGAACTGCGTAAGTTTCGGGCGCCTTCACTTCGAGACTTCGGTACAAGTGTTTTCGTAAACCCGACAAGCCGAAACGAGTGATCTATGCGTTCCGACACGTAACCGACCCTGTGAACCCTCAAACCCAATGCCCCTCTGAACCCTCAAACCCAATGCCCGAATTTTCTGGGTGGTAAGGCCCCGCTAAACAACCTCAAAAGCTCACACAGGAAGACTCTACGTATGCCAAAGCCTACGGGGGTTTCTATAAGGTTCTCTCTATAGGGACTAGGATACCCAGTAACCTAAGAAAAAAGGCCTCTCTTTTTGGTATTGGGTAACTTTATAAGGAACCTAGGACTACAAAAAGGGAGAAGGGTACTACTGGGCATCCTAGGGATGTCTGGACTGGGGTTCCAAGGAAAAGGAACTGTGATCTGGGCTTGCAAGGCTCAGACTCATTGGCAGTATTCTTTCTTGGGGCCCGGACCCTAATATAGTACCCTAAATAGTAGGGTCCTTATTATGAGGACCCCACATAAGGTACCCCTATATAATTTCGGAAACTCCCTAAAAGAATCCCCATTATAGAACCCTTACAGATCCCTTTAAGGACCCCAAATAAGATACCCCTAATTTCGGAAACTCCCAAATCGAGAAATCGAAAAGCTCCTGCGTCCACAGGCCCACGGGGAAGGAGGTCGCTGCCTCGAGGTTTTAATGAGGTTTTAGGGAGTTTTAAGGACGTTTTAGGGTTTAGGGTTTAGGGGTTTAGGGTTTAGGGAGTTTTAAGACCTGCCTGGTCATGCAAAACCCTACAGTTTCACTTTTTTTGGTGTTAGACCCTTTAATTCAGGGGTCGTAACCTACGTATACTATTTTGTAGGGTTCGGGGATACAGGTAGCGTTTAAGGTTATAGGCTTGATTCAGCACCGTTTTTGACTTGTGCTACAGGTTTTATAGCTGACTGGCCGAGTATCCTGGGGGAACTAAAGGTTAACCTGGGGGCTTATCAGACTCTACTACTAGGGTAGAGTTCTCACGGTAGCGTTGTTTGGAACTTAGAAAGTAGTCAGAAGGGTCTCAGCGTAAAGCTAAGACCGGAGTTTAGACTTTACGGCCTCAGCGGGGTTTAGTTTAGAAGCCTTGCAGGCATCACAAACTAGACGTCGATGTCAACTCCCCCAAATTAATGTAATTAGTGCTCCTTCTTGAACAATAAGGGAAAACTACCCCAAATCCATTCCTCGCAAATGGCTTACGTCGACCCCAGCTTGATCAGGCCCACGTGGTGTTGTGAAGCAGAGTCTCTGATGCTGGGAGCGTGACAAACTTGGACACCTGTTCCAGAGCTTCCATGGCTTCTGTATCCTTGGGCACAGGAAGACCATGCCACAGCACACCGACCAGATTTGCATCACCATATGCGTCTCACATGGGTTGTGGCCATGAGTGGCCCTTGCACATTGCACATGGGAGTTTCTGAAAATTAGGGGTACCTTATTTTGGGGTCCTTATATTGAGGATCCTACTATTTGGGGTACTATGTTAGGGTCCCTATTTTCGGAAACTCCCACATTGAGCTGGCATTGGCTTGGCCCTCATCGAGCTCCAGTCAAGATTATGTGAAAGAGGTACGTCGAATACCATGTTTTATGGCTATGGTCATCTAGCAGGAACCATGTACTTTTAGTTTTCTTACTATACTCGACAGATAATTATAACCGAAATCATGGACATATAAGGACATACTCGACGTGCTCAGACTTCAATGTTACTGTTTAGGGGTCTGGCGTCTGGGTGCGTCAGGGTAGAGTCAAGGGCCCGGGTCAACTGCTAAACCATTGGAACTCGGCCACCCTACCAAAAATACAAGCCCGCACTAACAAACAAACGCGCACACCCTGAACCTGAAATCCCAAATCTCTAAGCTTTCCACGCCTGCATGTCCAAGTTACCGAACCCATACACCAACGAATCGCACATTTTGAATCTACTGAGCCAGGACCCCCCCCAGCCGTGAAGCCCAGCATACCCCAGCAACCCAAAGATCCAAGTTCCATCAAATCTTCTTTGTAATTACACACGGCTATGGTAAGGCAGTAAAGTACCAGTTATGCAAGGGATGCATTCAAGCAGTTGAGGATATTGGGTAGGCGTTCTTTGAACCTGGAGGCTTTCAGCATCGCTAGCATCATGCCTATGCCTCAATGTCAAACTCTGCACTGTCAACTTTAAACTCTCGACCTAATACCCCCAACACCATTACACCCTAGGCCGAAGCCTTCACGACTTTCTACTTAGACACACTCGGTTGAGCTTTTCTAAGACTATTAAAAACCCTAAGCTGAGAACCCTAAACCCACACCCCGCATAGATCCCTTATGGATCCCTTTAAAGGAATCCCTAGATCCCTTTAAAGGAACCCCTATAGATCCCATTAAAGGAACCCCTATAGATCCCTTTAAAGGAGCCCTAAACCCCTAAACCTCTCAACCCCAAAGCTTCGAACTCGAAGTCTCTGAGACCCCGAACCCTAAGACCCTGAACGGGAAGATCCCCCATTAGGGTTTAGGGTTTAGGTTTAGGGCTTTGGGTTCAGGGTTTAGGGTAGGGTTGTGTTTTTGAAGGGGGGGGGTTAGGGTTCTAAGCTTTGGGGTTGGGGGTTTGGGGGGTTTAGGCTTCTGAGCTTAGGATTCAGGGCTCTAGGTTTAGGGTTTAGGGCTAAGGTTGACAAGGTAAGACACTAGTAATCGGATCTCACGGGGAATTTAACGCTTCGGCTCTAGGGAAAAATGTAAGACCCTAGTCTTAGTTGCTGAGTTCATAAGCCCCCACAAGTGTACACTTTCAGCTTTAAAGTGTGTAATGGAGTTTGGAGCTTACACTTTAGGAGGGTTTAGGGTTTGACAGATCTCGGGCTTTTGGGATTAGGGAGACCTTATAATGCTGGGTTTAGGGAAATGCTAGAACCCTCTCACTCTGACCTAACCCTGCAGCTTTACGTGCACAGAAGAACGAGAAACACCCATAATGTAGGAACATGATTAAGAAACCTTGGGCCTTTACTAGGCTTCCTTATATGAATCCTGCTGTTTTGGGGTTCTAGGCCCAGGGTTTCTTAATCAGGTTCCTACATTAGGGAAGAGAGCAAATGAGGGCAACCCTGAGGAGCTGAAGCTTAAACACGAAAGCCTAAACCCTAACGGCCCTAAGCCTAAAGCTTAAGCCGGAAAATCCTAAACTCTGGGAGTATGAGACCGAAATTCGAAACCCTAAACCCCAAAATACCCGAAGCCCTAAACCCTTCAAGGAGCCCCAAAAGACGCTAACCCCAGGCCTTGTGAGCACGCTCGAGCCATGATCCTAGTCTACCCAGGAAGCCCTCTTCGGCGAACATCTCCTGGTTTGGGTGCTAGGGGTAGGGGTTTAGGGTTTAGGGTTTAGGGGTTTAGGGTTTAGGGTTTAGGGTTTAGGGGTTTAGGGTTTAGGGTTTAGGGTTTAGGGTTTAGGGAGTTGGCAAAGTTCAACAGTTCAGGCGTTTAGGTTTGGGTGTTAGAGGGTAGGGTTTCGGGGAATAGGACCAAGAACAGGACCAAGAAAAACACAAAGTTCAGGCTTCAGTTAGGGTATATATACGAACATGAAAAGTTCAGGCTTTAGGGTTTGGGTGCAAAACACAGTCTGGGAGACACAGATCCTGCCCTGGGACGCCGAATTTAAGGTTTCGGGTAGAGGCCTAGAGCCTACATAGTAACGAATTCTATTTTGACTCGTATCACATCCACCAAAACCCTCTTCTAATTATTCAAGCCCCTTTGCTATGTCCTCCTAGTTTCTGTGGGTTAGCAATTTGCATTCAAGGCTTGAGGTTAAGCGCTATTCGGGATTCGAATTAAGGCTAGCAGCTAGCACTTCAACTGTTGCAGAAAACGACCAAACTACTTGATTCATCGTGATGATGACTGCCATTCTCCTCCTCCTCCTCCCTCCTCCTCCTCCTCCTCCTCCTCCTCCTCCTCCTGCTCCTCCTGCTCCTCCACCTCTTTCTCAGTCTCTTCATTCTCCTCATCCTCATCCTCGACATCCTCATCATCACCATCGGCTTCATCATGATCATGATCATCATCATCATCATCCTGATCGGCGTCATCGTTCATCATCTAGAATCTAGTTTTTGCCATCTTAGAAGTCTGGATCAACATCATCGAGCGTCCTCGGCGCTGAGCAGACGACCCTGCCCATGATTTGGGGCGGCAGCCAGAAGGTCGCGAAAAGCATCCTCGGCCGTGTAGTTCATGCTGGTCGCCACCCACTCCCTGGAAGGAACTACCTAGACCCCAAAAGTAGGTAAAATAATGGCCCCAAACCTATAAAAGGCCATTATTATACAAACTTTGAGGGTTCAGGTACAGCTTAAGGCATAGGGTGTAAGCCCTAAACCCCTAAACCCCTAAATCCTAATTACACCCTACACCCCTAAATCCTAAACCCCTTAACATGCCCAAAACCCTATACTTCTTTTTTTCAAATCCTGTTTGCCTCAGCTTTTTGGGCCACTGCTTCCGCGGCCGCATGATGCACTCGCCGGTGCGCGAGAAGTCGTAGCCACCTTCGTAGTGTTGCCAGTTCCATTCAACAAGATTTAAGCTTTGAGGTTCCAGGGAAGATGAAGTATCACAGAAAGATGAAGGTGTACAACTGAAATCAGCTACCAAGCTACCCTCCTCGGCTGGTCGCTGCATCTTAATCCAGTAGCCGGGACCCCCGTCCTGCAGCGTCCGATTCTTCGGCGCATAGACGTCCCGGCCGCGGATGAGTCGCTCTGCATCCGGATCGGGATCCAGCCATGCGCTCAGTGTGTATTGGTCGAAACAGCTTTGGAGGACCCTATACCTGGGGTTTGATGTCACCAGGGAGAATTGCACGTCATTAAGGTTCCTTGAAGGAACGGCTGAACAAAAACGAACAAAGTATAGTACTCCAGAATCCAGATACCGCACAGGCAGGTTTTGCTCTCGATTTTCAGGGTACTGCTGAATTGCCCAGACATGCTGTGTGTGGCTGCCAGAGGTCATCATATACCAGAAAATCTCCTGTGAGTATACTAGTGCGACCATATGGGGACTTTAAGGGGCTAATATCTATGAGTCATGAAGCATACAGTGATACAAACCTGTACGCACAGAGGACTAGTGAGTAGCGCGAATCGACAGCACCCCAGAAATTAGCTACAAACCCCACTTAACTTTACTTAGACCCCTACCTGGGACCCCAAACCCCAAACCCTACAAAATAGTAAGTTATGACCCCTTAGAGTTAGAGGGTAGAACCCTTAAAACGGTAGGGTTTTTGGGATCCCGAGGTCGATCTTCAACCAAAAAGTCTCCTCCTTCGAGCCCCTCCGTTGCGCGAAGCCTGGGCTCGGAAGGAACTACAGAGTGCACAAACGTATAAACGGTTACCCAGAGGCCCCAAAGTAGTTCCTTTTTGGGATTACCTTATAGGATTCTATATACGAACCCCAAAAACAAACTACTTTGGGGCCTCTGGGTAATTTCATAATGGCTCCTGTAATTTTAGGGTTTAGGGTTTAGGGGGCTCCTGTAATTAGGGTTCAGGGTTTAAGGGCTCCTGTAAGGAACAGGTCCAAAAGAAAGTATGTATTCAAGTATTGTACTCCAGAACCCAGAAGCTGCTCAGCACATCGGCACGCGTCTGCCATAACGGCCAGGTCGACACGCTCGGGATCTTCAAAAGCAGCTCGCCTTCGGCTAGGGCTTAGGGTTTAGGTCGCAAACCCATTACGGCATAGCTAAGGAAACGTACCTTGGTTACTCTAGGTAGGTTGCACCTGTGCCCAAGAACCTAGCTTTTTAGGGCTCCCTCTTATGACTTCCAACAGGTATGTTCTTGGGGCTGCCGGTAAGGCTAGAGGATCCAAACCCATCAAGATACCGTACAATTTGGTGTATCCTCAACTTGATTAACGCTATTGGACCTAAGCTTTAGAGCTTTAACCCATAACCTTGAACCTTAAACCCTGCACCCCAAATCTTAAGCCCTAAACCCTAAACCCCAACTTTAAGCCCTATATGGAATATGAATCTGAAGGCTTACCTGTGACCCCAAACCCTACAAAATAGTAGGTTATGACCCCTTAATCAGAGGGTAGAACCCTCAAAACGGTAGGGTTTCGGATCCCCAGGTACTGCTTCAAAATGGATTTGGAATCCCTGCCTTCGATCCCCAAGTGCAACTCCGCTAGCCAGCTGACCTGGGTGTTTGTCAAGGATAAGGGCTTATATGGATTAAGCGGTTGGGGTTTCGGGTTTAGGGAACTAGACCTAAGAGAAGCCTAGGAATAAAAAGGGTGCCCTTTTTGGTTTAAATAGGGGTTATAGGGGGACCTGAAACCCCAAAAAAGGGAATAAGGGCCTACTCTAGGGCCTAGAGGATAAGGGCTTATGGATTAAAGGTTTGGGGTTTCGGGTTTGTAAGGGAACAAGGGGTTGGAGTTTCGGGTTTAGGATTAAGGCTTAGCGTTTAGGATCATGGCTTGGGGCTTACGGTTGCGGGTGTGAGGCTCAGGGGGTAGGGTTTGGGGTTCAAAGGGCTTAGGATTGAGGGAACCCAACTAATCTAACAGCTTGGGAATACATCTTTGACTAATGCATTGCAACGAACATGTTTTCACGATGTCATAGTACTCGTACAAGAGAACATAGCAAAAGCTGTCTCCCTATGCATGATAAAACACCCAAGTGACATGAGCCCAGTGACTGTCGGACCACAGGCGGCCTCTGTGCCATTAGCTGCCGTATGCTCGAGGATGTCTGATGCGAGTTTACGCCGGGCAGTCGTGCTGTCGAGGACGCGTTCGGCACTCCCGGAGGACAAAACTGCCTGGCTTCGGGTTCGGAGCCTGCGGGGGCTTAGGGTACCATTGGATGTATGTGAGTGCATATGTATGTATGTATGTAAACATTTATGAACGAAGTAAAAGATAGATACAACTATCGAAATAATCTACATATGTACGTCTGCATATATATATGTATAATTAGGGTTCAGGATTTTGGGCTCAGGGAAGAAGAGGTTTGGGTGCACAAAGCCTCCGTGAAAAACTGTATCTTCTGCAGCTGCCGCAGGCTCAGCTTAGCGTCGAAGCGCATGAGTTTCCTGACCTCATGGAAGCACCCGTCATGAGAAGAAGCTCCTTCGTTTCCACTTTGGTTTTGCCCTCGAAGTTGAAGGAGGTGCAAGCCGACATCGTCACCAGCTGCGGCGAAGCTTTCACCAAGGATGGGGCAATTTGCATCCTCAAGCGAATCAAGTGCGGCTACGGAAAAGGCCAGCGCTAGGGCAAGCCCAAGGCAGGACCAGGACATTGCACACTGTCGGAGTCTATGTCAAAATTATGGTCCCTTTTTGGGTACCCTAAATATTAGGTGCCGAAATAGTTTAGGGACCCAAGATTTACCATAATTTTGACAAAAAACCCATGTACAGGTGAGCCCTCTGATCCCCACGGCTGCTGCCATCTCAAGAACTGCGCAGATGCCATTCCTTCGCGGTGAAAAATTAGGGTCCCTTTTTTGGGTACCCTATGTAATAGGTGCCGCACAATAATATGGACCCAAAAAGGACCGTAATTTTGACAACCACCCAAATGTCTAGATAGAGTTTAGCTACAAGCTTCGACTTGATACTCTCCGAATGTAGGGGCCTTAACAAACAATAGGGTCTTTGGGCTCCTCTATGGCATCTTTCTATTGGTTAATCGTATAGTTCATTGGAGCTATAATAAAGAAGCCTGGAATAACTTAGCAATAAAAAGGGTGCCCTTTTTGGTTTAAAGGGGTTTATAAGGGAACCTAGACCTTAGAAAGGGAATAAGGGCCTACTCTGGGTCCTAGATAAAGAAGCCTGGAGAGAATGTTGGTAATTACCTTTGGCGTCTGTTTCAGATTCTGAGCTCGCGAAGCCAGGTCATCGCAATTCATATGGGCAGCTCTTTTTTGTGAGATACTTTCGGGGTCAATACGGGAGCTTCGAAATAGGGGACCCAAGTATACTACCCTAAATAGTAGGATCCTTATTATAAGGACCCAAAATGAGGTACCCCTCATTTTCGGAAACTCCCATATGGCAGTCTTACCGGAACACAGAGACCCAGAAGGTACCTAAACCTCAAACCCTCAGCCCTGAACCCAGGGACTCCAAGCCATAACCCGAATCTTGAACCCAAAGCCACGGTTTGTGGCTTAGGGTTTAGGGTTTAGGGCATTGGGTTTGGGGCTTAGGGTTTAAGGGTTTAGGGCTACCATCTCCACTTTGTACGGTTGGGTATTTCGGGTTGGGTGTTATGGGTTTTATATCGGGTGGGGCATGTTTAGGGGTTGAGTGTGCTAGTTTCCATGGGGAGATGGGTGGTTCCATAGTACGGGTTTTGTCAGCTGGGTCTTTCCTATAGGTCTTTCGGTGGTTCCATGGGTGGTGAACAGGATGTTATGGTTTGGGGCTAGGGGGTGATGCATGGTTAGAACATGGGCATGGTATCTGCGAACTTAAACTTCCACAAACTCTACAGGGTTGGTTAAAGCTTTACTTACCTGCGGTCTCCATTGTAGTGCCCCTTTTTGTTCATATAAACATAAAGCCCTTTGTTGCACCTAATCTCATCCTGTATAGGCAAATACTTTGACCCCAATGCACCTATATCGGAACAAAGTACATGTACATTATGCGTATACACTGATATATCATAAATCCTCAACCCCTACACCCTCAAACTTAAAACTCAAAAGCCAAACCCGGAGAGTAAACCCCAAGGCTCCATGTTTCGATCGCAAATGAGTTGCTGTCGCCCTCCGGTTGATGATATAAATCCTGCATTACCCATAATAAGGAATGTACCATACATCCGATAGTTTAGGGCCCTTAAGGTAATGCAGGATTTGTATCATCAACCGTCTCGCCCAGAGCTCAGAGAAGGACCTGTCCAGCGAGGGGTTCGGGTGTTAGGATAAGAGTTGAAGGGTGCAGAGAGTCTAGGGTTCAGGGTTTAGGGCTTAGGGTTTCGGATTTAGGGTTCGGATACAGGGCTGTGTTGATTCTCACCCTGAGAGTTTAAACGGATTCAGCAAAAAAATGTTCAGGAATGCGTAATAGAATTTAACGCAGAGGTTCACAGGATTCTATGGGCACTCATCCAATGTTAGGGCTTACGGGATCATGGCAGCTAGGACGTGGCTTGGGGCCTGGCCGGCGAAATGGTTTTTGATTTCAGGGCGCAGCATTCTGAAGATCCAGCTGCCCAGAGACTCCAATATCCCTTAATTAAGGAACATTCCTTAAATCATATTAGGGATCCGATTATAATTTAAGGTATATTCCTTAATTAAGGAAGATTGGAGTCTCTGGGTATACGGAGCTTGGGTCGAGGCCCTATTTGGAGCTTGCCCTGGGCATCAAACTGGCCCAAAAGCCTTATATGGGAGTTTCCGAAAATTAGGGGTACCGTATCTTGGGGTCCTTATAACAAGGATCCTACTATTTAAGGGTACTACATTAGGGTCCCATGTTTTCGGAAACTCCTATATAGTCGGGTTCGAATGTGGGAATAGGGTTTAGGGTTTACAAAGGACCTGAAAGGACTCTCACAGATCCATAAGGACTCCATTGCAGTTCCTTTTTTGATGGTTAACCAAAAATTATATTATAGGATCCTAACCATAAAGCTGGTTAACCAAAAAAAGAACTACAATGCAGACTATAGGTAGTGGATTAAGCTCTGACTAGGGCTCATTCAAGATCTAGGGCCCCTTCAGAGGTTTTATTGTCTAGGGTTGAGGGTTGTATTGTCTAGGGTTTAGGGTTTGGTTTCATTGTTTAGGGTTTAAGGTTTTATTGTTGAGGGTTTAGGGCTTTAGGGTTTCTATTTCTACACAGGCTTTCTGTGCAAGATTTCGCGTATATGCGGGCGTCATAACAGTGTACGGCCTTGGTTCTATGTGGGGCCCATGCTGTAGAATTTAGGGTCGGTGCTGCGAAGGAGATGGCGTCTCTCACCCCGAAACCCTATAATTTAAGGGCCTTAATAATTGGAATAGGGTTTTGCGGGCGCCGTATTGTAATATGATCTGCCCCAAACCCTTAAACCCAATTCCAATTGTTAAGGCCCCCATTAATTATCGTAAACTCTGAACTTTGGACCCAAAACCCCGAAATGTGCACCCAAAAAACCCAACCCACAACTAGGAACCTGACTTTGCCAGGCTCTGCGCTGACCACGGGTTTATAGGAATCTGAACCCTAAACCCCCGAAAGTACGCCCCAAAGCCCGAAACCGTGGACGCTAAGCCCTGGCCCTAAACGCTAGTGGACCGTAAGCCGTTATGAAACCTAAACCCTGGTGGACCCTAAACCTGAACCCTAAACCCGAGACCCTCACGGGGATCCCCTGAGTGCTGCGCCGACTTTGGCATCCGACCACAGAGCTCCAAGCGCTCGGCTGTAGGCAAGTAACCATCCTCAGAGCGGATAAGGGTGCCTTTATAGCAGGCTCAAGGCTCCCAAAAAATCAAACTGGGATCAGAAACAAATCAAATGTTTGGGATCAACAATCGAAATTAGGGATCGAGCTATCTCCTGAAGTGTATACTGCAGATTACCAACTTTCGAAACCAAAAATACAGTCAAACAATCAAACAAGGACATGGTTTTCTGCTGCCCAACCAGCGTCGCTGCACTGTGGGGCTATTTTGCCTAGTGGTACTAATCGAAAATACAAACGATGATCGGAACAACAGTGATACTAAGAATCGTCATAATATTCAAAATCATAATGACAATTAGACAGCCAGTTTCACAATATGCAAGAAATCTGATAATAGTAGCAGTCGTCATCGTCATCATCAAGGAAAACAATGGTGAGGAGCAGGAGGATGATGATGATCATGACCATCATCATCAGCATTATCATGATCATCATCGCCAGAGACATAGCAACAGTCGTCGTGCTAAGCGTAGCAATGACGAACACTGTTCATTGTTGTTGCGCTCGACAAGCTGCGATAACCATAATTGTGCGGGCGACAGTAACAGTAACAGTACACCGCCGAACATTGGGATCTCCAGCTTTCACTTATACTGTAACTTATAGCTTTTCAGAACTGTTGTTGTAAATGTCTGATCCCTATTTGATGTCTTTGTGATCCCATTTTTGTTGTTCCGTATTTGATTTTTTGATGCCTATCCCAAGCACTCTTTGACAAGCGAACTATAAACCCACTACCCTAGACTCATTCGTATCCGCAGCGGATGCAAATACAACCCAAAATCCCAAAACATTGAACTCGCTTGAAAGGACCTATACTAAACCCTCTACCCTACCTTAAACTATTTCGCGAGTTAACGGAACTATAACAAGCCCTACACCTAGACCTATACCAGGCCAATCTAAACCCCCAGACATCCCTAAGCCCAAGACGCTTCTAGTAATCCAGAAATCCCATTTTTCAGGGACCCCCCAAGATAACATAAGCATAAAAACATTTTACAAGGAGATCGCTACCTGATTGGGCTTCAGAATAGGAAGATTTTTGTGGGACCTCCCCATCCTAAGCAAGGCCCCTGTAGTACCCTTATAGATCCCACTTATATGTAGCCTTTATAGACCCCTTCTAAGACCTAAGAGAAGCCTAGGAATAACAAGGGTGCCCTTTTTGGGTTTAAAGGGGTTTATAAGGGAACCCAAACCCTAAAAAAGGGAATAAGGGCCTACTCTGGGTCCTAAAGAAGCCTGGAGAGAATGTTGGTAACTACCTTCCCAAAGGGTCCAAAGTACTGGTATAGCAGAATGTAGGGTTTCTATATTAGGAGTTACTATAAAGGAACCCCATCCTAAGTAAGGCCCCTGTAGTACCCTTATAGATCCCACTTATATGTAGCCTTTAAAGAACCCCTTTAAAGGAACCCTATCCTAAGATTTGCTTCTGTGTTTTATTCGTCAGGAGAGCCGGGGCCTCCCGATGCTTCGCACGCTCCAGGCTCCGAGCACTCCAATCCTTTCAGGGTTTAGGGGGTTTAGGGGGGTTTTGGGGGTTTAGGGTTTAGGGGGTTTACGGATTTAGGGGTTTAGGGTTTCGAGTTTAAGGGTTTAGGTTTTGGGGGTATAGGGCTAGAGTTTAGAGGTTTAGAGTTGTGGGTTTAGGGGTTTAGGGTTTTGGGGGTTTAGGGGGTTTAGGGTTTAGGGTTTTGGGGGTTTAGGGTTTTGGGGGTTTAGGGGTTTAGGGGTTTAGGGTTTAGGGGTTTAGGGTTTTGGGGGTTTAGGGTTTTGGGGGGTTTAGGAGTTTTGGGGTTAGGGTTGTGGGTTTAGGGTTTCGAG